GCGTCAAGTCATACGTACATAATCTAGTTTGCCTTGGACAACTCTTGCTTACACGCCAACAGAACGCAGGGCAGGTAGATATCCCAGATTTCTTGATTAGATTAGATTCGCATGACTACACCTGCACCACCACCTGCTCCAACTCACATACTCAGAACTCACTCTTCTCCCGTGAGCACTGTATTTGTCTCTTCCGACAACGAACGGATTTACTCCGGCGATGCTTCTGGTCTTGTCGTTGTCACTTCATCCCGCTCATTACGCCCAATAGTGAAGTGGAATGCACACACTGACTCTCTGTTAGGAATCGAGGAATGGGGTAATCGTGTCATAACGTACGCGTTTTGTGTCCGTCGAATCATCCAGTGACTTACCGCTCTTCTCGAAAAGTCATGCGAGGGATAATAAACTGCACGTCTGGACACGAGCTGAAGAACAGCCAGTATCTGCACGAGTCGGGTCTGTCGCGCAGTTCGATGAAGAACAAACGCTTCCGCAACTCTGCTACTCCATGGACGTCAATGCTCTCAATTACTGTCGCTTCTCGCTCTTGCCTAATCCTAGTGACGAGGCACAAGCACTTGTCGCGCTACCGAATTTGGTGGACTCTACCTCCGTACGTCCATAGTATCGCTCACCATGTGATCCACCTTTCATCCTAAATAGGCAGATATCTGGACATTGCCATCATGTGAGCGCATCCATGCAGCAATCGGTCAAACAGGAAAAGTATCGCTATTCAATTCCAACCCAGAGAAAAGGTCTAAAACAGGCGCGTTGCTTGATAACCTTTAAAATCCTCAGTAATCACTGAGATTCCAGCAGGAATCATTATGTCTCTTCATGTCTTCAAGGTTCCTCAGGATGAACCGTCTTCATCGACGTCTGGCTGCGCGCTGAGACTGCTCTGCGCATATGAGAGTGGTTCTGCGACACTACGAAGGTACACAAGAGCTGATAAACCAACGTCTGTTGAAGGTGCCGGTTGGGAGATCATCTGGGACGTGAAGGTTCATGCAGAGACTAGTCTGTCAGATCTTCTGTCTCAATTTTTGCAGTACAACTCAGTATCTTCATAGTCATGGCCATGCGTGTGTCCAGGAACAACAGTTTTGCATTAACAATTTCGGCTGATCATTTAGTCGGACGATATGACCTAACGGTACGTCTTCGTAGTCTACGCGACTTCATCTTCGAATTCTGATCTCTCTCTTGACAGAGTAGCGATGCGAATACCGCGTGCGTCACACACCGAACTAAACACCCAGGGAATGCTGCGATTGCAATCCATGATAACGAACGCGTCTGTGCTGTAGCCGGCTGGGACGGAAGGTACGGAATTCGATCATATAGTGATAACGTGAATGATGCCAACCACGCTCAGCATTCGCCTTTACTCAACCAGGACGATGAAGCCACTCGGGACATTGCGATACCATAAAACGGGCTGTCAAGCTGTGGAGTTCGCTCACTCTCTTGAAACAGTAAAAGTAGGTGGTTTGGATGACGAAGATCAAGTTAGTGACGAGGACAGTGAAGAAATGGACGAGCGCGAGAAGGAAGAGCGTACCCGATGGTTGGTTGTAGGGGGAAAAGATTCTCGTGTTTCAATATGGGCT